GGTAGAAACTTGGATAGAGCGACAGAGAGAATGATAGATCGAGCTATAGACAGAATGATAGAGCGACAAATAAAATGATAGATAACGTGACAGATAGAGCATCAGAACCATAGAGCGACAGATAAAATGACAAAAAATAGATAGAGCTACAGATAGAATGACCGAGCAACAGAGAACGATAGATAAAGTGACAGATAAAGCGATATAAACATAGCAACAGATTAATGAACAGATGAAAGACAGAGCGAGGGATAGAGTGACAGATAGAATGAAAGATAGAGCGACAGATAGAATGATAGCTAGAGATATAGACCGAATGACAACAAACAGAATGATGGAGCAGCAGAAAGAATGATAGATAATGTGACAGATATAGAGTGCCAGAACATTAGACAGAGCGACAGATAGAGCTACAAATAAAATGTCAAAACGATGGATAGAATGACAGAACAACAGAATGATAGATATAGAGACAAATAGAACAACAGATTGAACGATAGAGCTACAGATAGAACAATTAATAAAATGACATAGAGAGATCGACAGACTAAACGAGAGAGCTGCAGATAGTGACAAAAAACGATATATAGAGCAACAGATTGAAGAATAGATAGAATGATAGACCTGAGGTTTGGGAGGTAGAGGAGGGTGATTAACTCCTCTGGCGACGAGCTCTGGTGGGCGATGAGGTGGATGATCAATGATCTCGATTATATCTTCATTAAGAAAGAAATGCGGTTCAGTAAACTGATATTCAAGCTGTTATTTTTTAAACTCAGAAATACAGGCTAGATACCATCGATCCGTCTATCCTCTTTCTCTTTTCTCTCTTGTTCGCGGCTCAGATTGGCAGCCGGGGCGGAAAGGATGAAGAGGAAGGCTGAATCATTGTGGCTTCTGACCCCATAGTGATACAGGGTTTCTCTGTCCTGGGCGAGGCGCTTCCCGATCACCCAGCGCTGGAGGGCCGGGTGGAAGTCATAGTCACGACTGATCTGAAAGACAAATTTTGAATACCTAAAAAGTAAATGAGGGCTCCAGTAAATGTATCATTTTGGGTTTCCGTATCAAACAAGAATTTTCATTCTCAGGTCCATCACTAACACTGTTTACCTTTTCTTTCAGCTCTGATATTGTCATGTAAACTGGTACCATCACTGTAATTGGGATGTGGGCATCTGACACGGCGTCCGCCACTCCTACTCTCAACCTGCCATCACACAAAGCAAAACAAAAAACAAACAAAAAATCACATATAGTTACAGATCCCCAGCAACAAGTGTTTCTCGCCGCAATAAAACCAGTCTAACAGCATACCTGATGCAGTCTTGAGAGTACGCTTCAGGATTTATTTTGACACACACTGGGAGTTTTAGATCCAAAAGTTGATCCAGGTATTTGGTCGCTTCATCTTTGTCTCTAGAGTTGATGGCGTCACTCAGCATTCGAGCTGCATCCTCGGCTGGGACAGCAAAGATGTGATGTTAACATAATACACGTTGATGTGTGGAAAATGTGTCTTTTGATGTATACATTTATTGCATAATGCATTTACTAACACTCACCTTCTTTTATATTTCTAGAGGAATCAAGGGCAGCCATACTTTTACCTTTAAAGCTTTAAAAAAAAAAAATACACACACACAAAATTTAAAAAGAATATATATTATTTAAAAAAGTTTAAAGGGGTCATATGATGCGATTTCAAGTTTTCCTTTCTCTTTGGAGTGTTACAAGCTGATTGTGCATAGATAAGATCCCTGAAGTTGCAAAGACTAAAGTCTCAAAACCAAAGAGATATTCTTTATCAAAGTTAAGACTCTGCCACGCCCCCCTAAAACGGCCCGTTCTAACACGCCCCCACATATCTACCTCACTATGTGGAAATATTTGCATAATGCCGCTAAAATGTGCACGCAAAGAAAGAAGGCGTGGTTTCAGTAACCGCAGTTAGTGTTGAAGCAGCATGTCAGGGAGACGCTGTGTGTTTCTAGGCGAAAGCAAA